ATATTGGGGCTGGGGAAATAGCTCTCTCCTATTATCATGCCCAGATTTGTTGGCCTAGCTACAGTGTGGTTACACATAGTTTGACTTGCACATAAATAGGAAGTCTTTCACAGAGTTGGGAATTTCAGAGGCTTTCCAATTGCATGGAGTAGCATCTGTGCACATACAAGCATAGGTATATTGCGGAGATGTTGACAAAATGTATAAAGCAGGTCATGAGTAGGCCACGCTGCCTTTCACACTAAAGCATAAACGGCATTTGTAGAGGGCTTCAATTGCTCTGTCATTTATAGCTCTCCTTTTCTTAGTGTGAATATTGCTTTAGTTAATATACTATTTTATATATGCCTGTTAAATATGTTTTTCTTTCTTTAGGGGAAGCCGTATCGCGGATGTAAGTACCATTCCTAATTTTCTAATATGTAAGAAATGGAAATAATTACTACAGTATTGGTTCTTTCTCATAGACTCTTCCCAGCAGGGGATCATGAGTGGTTCTTAGCTGTTCCCTGACTTGAGTGAAACCAAAAGATACTAAATCCAGGGAAGAAGCAAAAACTCATCAGTTGGTACTTTGCTTCTTTCTCACTGGAAAAGTAGATATTAGAGGGCTGAGGAGCTGGCAGTAGTGTAATTCTGAGCCTCCTTTAGTTACAAGTACCTCATGCTGAAGCTGCCAATGAGAAGAGATCAAAGGATTGACTCATCAATTGGAGGTTTTATGTCATTGTGATTTGCCTTGCCTGATTTTGACAGAGTTGCAATGGACTCAGTTGCACTGTATATCTGCACTGCCATTGAGGAAGGGACAAGTGGTAATACATATGCTTTGTTTGCAGGAAGTTCAAGCCCTAGCATTTCAAGGTAAAAGGATGTCTGCTATTATATTCTAGGGAATACTGTTGCCTGAAATTCTGAAAAACAGCATCCAGTAATAGTGTAGGTAACTTTGAAATAGAAAAACCTGTTGATTCAGCTGACTTCTGTAGTTCTGTCAATCTGCCAAATAGTTGGATTCAGTACATTTTGGCTTCAATCTACATAAAAGAATGTTGTAATACAGTACTTCTGTTATGGATGCTTAAATACAGTATTTATCAATAGGCTTATTAGCTTAATCGATTAATTACATAACTTGTTCCTTCTCCCTGCAAGACTGAAGTTTTGCTAATATTTTGTCTGTTTTTTCTTTTTAATCACCTAGATAACAATCTGCCGTGAGCTTCCCAATGTTGAGGTGATCACATTCAGGTGTGTGTTAGAGCAATGGCTGCCTAATAAAAACCCAAGGGAAACCAGTGGTCTTTCTTTCAGCATGGAACCTGAACATAAATCCTTACCAGCTCTTGAGCATTCAGGCAATGTGCCTCTCAAATCACTGTGTTCTTATGTTTCATTTTTAAGCTCTAGTTTTTAGTACATTTATAACTTCTTTACCAGTATCAATACATGGCTGTTCAGTAAGAACTGGTGCAGCAATATTATTTCATTATTGGATCATACATAGACAGTCTCTCTTTTTCTAATTATTTATTTTTTTAAATAGTAACAGAAAAAGAAAACAATGCAAAGTTAATTACAATGCAAATACATATATTCTCAAAGAAAAAAAACTGCATAAAAAGTGCTTTAAAAAGAAAGTTAAAAAAACACAACAGGAAAAAAGGAAACAAAGTATAATATATCGTTATAACAGTTAAGTATATATAGAATTGTAATTGTTATCTAATGTAAATATTATTCAAGTACATATATATTTATTTCTAATACACTTATATAATATCATTCTTTTTTAACCTACTGTATTTTGTATAAATGAGTTCCATTTTTCATTATACTTGTTCATACAAAGTTTGTGCCTATAGGCAATCCACTCATAGGTGCAGCCAGGTCTTCCATCCATTGAGTGAATGGGGCCATACATTTATCTTTCCAATGCTGCAATATCAGTCTTTTGGCCATAGTAAGGGCACAGAGAATCGATTTATGTTGCCCAGTTGTCAAATTCCATGTAATAGGTATGTAATTCAAGAGATTATCCTCTTAAAATTTTAGCTTTTGTCACACAGTCACATTTATATAATCTACTACGTTGTCCCAAAACTTAGTAAGTATAGGACATTGTAAAAACACGTGTTTTAAAGAAGCATGAACTCCAACAGAATGCTGTTTTAGATAGTCCTTTTCTATACAGATGTAATGGAGTCCAATAAATTCTAAACATCATTTTTTGTTATATAGGTCATAGTTTAAGGTCCATTGACACTCTTGCTATGGAAGTTAAGACACTCTCCCATTGTTTAGGCAATATAGGAACCTCTAATTCTTTATTCCATTCATTTCTTATCATCTGCATATCAAATTGATTTATTGATAACAAATTTCTATAAAAACTGATAGGTTTTTTAGTTTTAAAGGATTTAAAAAGTTGTTCTAGTATCTCAGGTGTCTCAGAAGCTGAAAATACTGCTAGTCCAAACAATGTTGTTAACAAATGTTATAGCTGTAAATATTGTCATTGGGTTACATCTGATAGATGATATTTATCTCTTAACACAGAGTATGTTAAACATTCATCTTCATTGTTTATCAGTTGGTCCAAAGTTAATATCCCTGCTTCCATCCAATTTTTCCATATCACCATCTTTTTCCCAGTTTTTAAAGTTGGGTTTCCCCATGAAGTCAATTTAGCATGTGAAAAAGGGTCAAATCTTCTGTTGGGCATTACATTCCATAACTTTCTAATTGATATCTCATTAAAGGCATTTAATCTCATGTTCAATCTCAACTGGAAGGTCCTTTCACAAAGAAAGGAGCTTTCTGAAAAAATCCTCCATAAATTCAGCCAGGTTTGAATTGACTTGGAGGGTTCTCAGTGCCAATCACACGTAAATTTTTCTTGCACAGTTACAACTCTAAGTATGTAATTTGTTTATCCAAAATATTATTACTAGCTTGAGTAATAGTGCTGTGAGCACCTAGCCAGTCTTCAGAGGAAGCCATTTTCTCTTGCAACTGCCTTAAATCATTTTTAAGCTCTGCCAGATCTTAAAAATGTACCTGAGCCTGATCTCTTTTAACAAGTTAGTGGGAGAATCCTCCTTCACCATCTTCCCTGGTTTGGCAGATAGTGGTACAGCTGAAATTAAGCTAGCTGTTGATTGTTTGGGTCTAGTTGCCATATCAATAGCTCATTAAAAGCAAAATAATATGTAATAAAAAGTTTTATTTATGGGATGATCAAAGTTTTTGTCCACACAGTCAGAAGTTTGAAAACACTTTAATCAGGAGAGAGGTGAGAGACATGCACTCATAGCACCATTCCAAACTGGAAGTATGCAGTCTCATATTTCTGCATTATGTGCCTAACCTACCCCTTCAGGTATACCCTCTTTTCTATGCTTTAAATTATTATTTTTATTTAATAACACCAGATCAGAAGGAAGGAAATTGCAGATCTTCATTCCTTATTTCATTAACCGTATAAATTAGCAATCCATTACTCAAATCATTCTTGAAGACCCTATCCATTTATCTATTCACCTATTTGTTGTCTGTTTGTGTATGTATCATTTCAGGGATTTATTTTTGTTCCTCTTGATCTCTCTCTACCTCACGTCATAAATGCACATTATCATAGCTTTGTGCTCTGCATCCCAGCCTTATCTTCTTTTACCTTCTCTTTATTCAGTGCATCTTTGTTTCTGGTCCTAGCTCTACTTCTAAGTTCAGCAGCAACAGCACACAAGGCTTATACTCTTTTAGAAACTAAGTAATTTTGAATATCGGTGGGCAGTCTGATGATGTAATCTGATTTCAAAATCTTGAAAACATAATGAACAATGTAAATGTAATGATCTGATTATTTCTCTTTCTCCTCTTATTTTTCATGGGTTCTTTCAGATTTCAAATGTTCTACAGAACGATAAGAAAGGCCTACAAATATTTGTGTATCCAGGTGGCTTAGGATTTTTATGTTGCACAGAGAGTTGTAGTTGTTAATGCTGCCTTTGGTTTCCACCTTATTTGTTTTCTTCTCTAGTGCAAATAACATCTCCAGTCTGGAACCTATTAACCAGTGCCAGAAGCTAACTGAGCTTTATCTCAGGAGAAACTGTATTTCAAGCCTCCATGAGCTGTTCCACTTGAAAAAACTGCCCTACCTGAGAATCCTCTGGATGTCTGAGAATCCCTGCTGTGGCTCTGACCTCCATCACTACAGAATGACAGTGCTGCGTAATCTTCCTAGTCTCCACAAGCTTGACAATAAAAGTGTGTATAGCAGCAAATTCCTTGGTGGGGTGTGTGAGAAGCTTAGGAAGAATTGTGTAGCAAAATGAGAGAGCATTTTGAATTAATACTTATTTGAACTGATGAGGGGGAGGGTATTAATTTATTGTTTCATATGAAAACAACTCCTTGCCAGGAACAAGCGCACAAAAGCTCAGCATTGTTGGCTTTTACATATTATGTAGTTATCCCTTTAGTATACTGGTGGGCAACCTATGAGCAGTCTGCAGCCCTCATCAGCATTCCATTTGTGGCCCTCAGAGAAGACGAGGCTGAATTTTTTCAGTCTTTTCTTTGGGGGGTTTTGGAGGACAAAATGAGCTCCATGGGGCTCACATTATTTAGAGCTCAAAAGAGAGTTAATTACATATGTTGGGTTACAGTTAGCTTCAGTTAGCTTATAGTTAAGGCAATGCTATTCCTGCCTTGTGTTAAGAAATTAATATCTGTTGTCAAAAATGCACATTTAAACTTCAGAAAGTTCAGAAAAGGTGGCAGCAAATTCTAGCGGCTGATCCTTCCCCTCTTCTCTAGTATTTTATAAGATTAAGGACCTGCTTATGAACAGAAAACGTATTTTTTACTAAGTATATTCTTAGTTTAATATATTAGTTTCAAATATGAGAAAAGCAGTTATTAAATTCCTGTGATCTTATTAATTCACAGAATTAGCTGTATTGGAAGAATGGTACATAGCCACATCTTTTAAAATCAAAGGAGCCTTTCATATTATATTAATACATATATCAAATATAATATATAGGACTATACCAAAAGTACTGTAGGCTTGGATTTTAATATGGTGAATCTGCTTAGCACATTTTATTTTTACTTTTTAAAAAATGTTATTGCTGTAAAGCTGCTCAGAATCTTCTGGGAAGGAATGGGTTATAAGCATCGTAAGAATAAATAAGTAATACTGCTCCCTCTTTGGCTTTTGTTTGACGTGTATAGTGGTGACAGAGGAAGAACTGTCACATGCACTATTAGAAGGAGAAGAGATAACAACACCCCCAGTTAAAACAGATGTAGACAGCTGCTGCCAATACTCTAACACTGAGTCCAGCACGACAGAATCTACAACAGAAAATGAACTTGTGAACTTCAGCCTTGAGGAGACAAAGTGAGGCGAGCTCTGTTGTTTGTTGTTAGCATTTATTTTTTGGATTTAATTTATGTGGAATGTTTGGTGCAACCCGGTTCAGTCTTACCTGGAGAAAAATTGATTCCTCACTTGTGTAAATCAATAAATCACCATATGAGAAGGGATTCCTTGATTTTTAAGTATGCAGAAACATTACATTTTAGCTTTTTATGCAGCATCTAGGTGTCCCTCTTCAAATATAGTACTTTGCAAGGTGCTATGTTTATAGAACTCTGCATTAATTCATCCTTTTGCTTACGTTCCTCTTCTTGTGCAGTAAAATCCGTGAGCAGCTTGGTATGAAGCCTGTTGTTCCGAGAGAGAAATTTTCACCCCCAGAAGTAGGTGGTAACCGGAAAAAATGGGTGAGCATAAGAGTCTTCCCCACCCCAAAAATCCATAGTTCTGTGTATTTTTGGATCATATGATGTGTTGCCTTGCACTGAACAGTGGTACAAAACCCAGGTAATAATCAGCTCAGCTCTGCTGGGTTGGAATAGTGAAAGACCCTTACAGAAGCTGTTTTTATAGGCAGCCCAAGTTGGAGAGACAAAAAGCATTTATTAGCCTTTGTATTCCATCCATATAGGTGGGGGTTGGGGGGGCAACTCTTTGCTGTTGTGAGGAAGTTATTGGCTGGCTGGGATTTCCAAGTTCATTGTGAATGCTGTGTAGCTAGTTGGTCCTAGTAATTTTAGAAAAAAGGGAGCAGAGCAGATCAAAATTCAACAGTTCTCAAAAGTAAGTGATGTTTACTAATTCTTTCACTTTAATCCTATTTTATAATCATCACCACCACCACCATCAAACCACAACATCTGCCTATCCCAGGTCCTTGGGAAGGACTTGATGGGATAAAAATGCCAAATCCAGTCTAAACATCTGGCTGACTGTGCAACTAACCATAATAAATATATGTACAAATGCTTTATCTTACAGTGATGCCCTGTGGTTCAGGTTGATTGTATGCTGTAATTTTGAAATGTTAACATTACACTGGATTGACAAATCAGGTGCTGCTTCATAATAATCTATGATGTCTGGCATGTTTACTTTACCTTTTTATTATCAGTTATGTGAGCTGCAGTGAACAGATCGTCCTGAAAAATAGCCTATGAATCTGTCAATGTTCTTATTAAAAGCAAAGTTACCAATGAATATAGCTTTCATTGTGCCAAGTATTTTTCTTTTGGACAGAATGAATCCAGCAAAAAGCTTCAAAAATAGTAGGTGCAAAGAATAGATGTCTTCTAAATAGGTCTTTAGAAAACTCTTGTGCCTAGGACCTCCCCACCCCCCTGGGACATACAAGGACAGTGCAGTGCAGTGCTGGATTAGACTGAACATCTGCCCCTAATATAACTCTTCCTTCCACCATACCAGGCAGATAGTACAAAAGCAGACTTCATAGAGATAATGTTGTAATTCTCCTCCAAACTGTTAATTAGAAACCCTTTGTCTCTAAACGAGATGATGATGATGATGATGATGATGATGATGATATTTAATATAAACGCCCACTCCAGTGGACTTTGAACCTAGTTTTTCTAACATTGTACAATTGATAAATCTGTCTTCTATGTAATTCAGTTCTGTTCATAGAATAATCTGCTTAAATATGTGAGAACAGATTGGAGGAAAACATTGAGGTAGTAATGATAAGAGCACTAGGCTGTTTATGCAGAGTGAATAATTCTATGATTTGCTCTGATTTTGATTTTTGTCTCCTGGATCAACAGAACAATATCCTCAGTGCCATCATGCTGCTCCTAGAAGAGCTGGATTCAGAGGGTTTAGAAGTCCTCCATCAAACGGTTGGAAACAAACTCCAAGCCTTGCAGAAGAAGGAACTCCATGAGGACCGATAGCACATCCTAGGCAACTATTTGTGGATCAGCAGAATTCATTTCACTAGCCTTCTAGCATCCTTTGTGTGCTGTTGGGCTTCCCATGAGAATGTATGATTGTGTCCAGAAAAAACAAGCACATCCTGTGTTTCATGTGCTAGAAGCATGTTCTACAATAATTTTTCATCTACAATTTGTGTGCCTACATTTATGCAACTAGTACCCCACCTTCCACAAAGGCTGGCAGCAGAGATGGCAAACAAGCATGTATAGAGCTACAGACAGTACTTGTCATTTGGAAAAGGATGTATTTCACCTCTTGTTACTGCCTTCCAGCTAGAAGAATCATGCCTATACTCATGGCTTTGTCAGACTAAGCTTGTGATACATCTGACTTGGTGAGCATGGTGGCCTTCCCTAATATCCCAATACTGGAGCAAGACTAAGCTTCATGTCTCCATCTTCTCTTTCTACATTTAATAGTGTTTGATAATCCTGTCCTCAAAGCCAGAATTTCATAAAACATTAAAACTAAAAAAGAAAAATCACTGAATGTTTAAATTAAAAGCTTGAGGAAGTCATAATTCTTCCTCTACTAAGTAACTTGAACTTGATGAAAAAATTGTCACTTGCAGTAAATTTTGAATTACAATTCCATATTATAACTCTGAATGTTTCCCTCTGTCCATGCAGCCTTCTAGAAAAATAAATGTTATTCGAGGGGAGGGTATAACATCAGTGTGATTCTGTAAGGAACCAGCATTAGTCTCTGCTGTACTGAACAAAATCCACTTCAGTATAATCTGAGATAGTGGGTCCTCCAGCCTCTCTAGTCTGTCAAGCTGCGTCTAGTGCAGGAGCTTCACTATGCTGTGAAATAGGTAGAATTTTCCTTCCATAAGATGAAGATCCTTTGACTAATGGCTGTGGTTGCAAATTGTGTGCTTTTTTGTTGATTCTTTATAGAACACTGACCCAGATCTGTGTTTATCTCTGTATGGATAGGACTATCTGGCCCTTACTAACTTGGTTAGCAGCAAGTTCCACTTGTAACTTGGGATTTTTTGCTTCTGTTGATCAACATTTCTGGGGTGATGTTACCATACAAATGAAAATAAAATAAACCCCCGTTTTCAATCCTCTAAAAATGTCTTTCTATGAGCTAGGGTGGTGGAAAAATTGGGGCCTACACTGTTATATTGTCCAGCTCCACCTATTTGATTAATAATGTCGACAAAATCATATGTAAGCTAAATGACTCAGTGATGTATAGAAAAATACAATGTTCTTGTAACACTTAAATCTTGATTTTTCAGGAATGCTTCTGGTGTTTCAATCCTTGGTACTTAATTGGCCATCAGTATTTTATGTATGCAAAAAGTGGTTAAGTCAAGTCCTCTGGTTTTGCCATGATTCCAAATGGTATGTGTCCTTTCTAGCAGATGTTTTAAAAACAGTACTTCCTTCCCGTGATTAGGGCTTCAGGGTAAATACTTGCATGACATGAATTCTTATCCCCAACCATTACAGCTGTGCATCACTTTGTTCTGGAAGCATTATCTTCATCCAAGTTTACATAGGAATCAAGATTTTTGCTCGAACTATGGTAAACAACTATGGTTTATCAAAAGAATAGTAGCAATTCAGAGGATGTTGAAAGGATAGTATTTGTAAAGTTTTAAATAAAAAGGCACCAGCTATATTTGAATAGTTTCCTTATAGATAGCAAGGAATCGCTTAGGGGGAAAAACTGGGCAGATACCAACCAGTTACATTTTTCTCAGAAAAGCTGAATTACTTTGAGAACTGGGCTATAAGGGGAATCCAGCATATATTCTTGTAAAAATGGGTTACATTGCATTATCTACTATAGAATATTCTACTGTCACAGTTATGAAGGAAGTGTGAACACCAAAGGTGTTATCTTACTATATTTTTGCTGGTGAAACTTAAATATCTTCACAAAAGTATTATACTACAGTGAAAAAAGCCTAATAAAGTCAAACACAAAAGATTGAAAGAAGGAAAAAAAAGTGAAATATGCCACATATCAATAAAGCAAATAGCTTAATCACAAAGTATCAAAATATGTGCAGTATTTTAAATAAACTGAGTAGGAGTGAGGAACCAGATCTTGTAAGCATAATTTTTCTTGTGATTGAAATCCACCAGTCAGGAAGCGGATAATGGTGTCTTTATAATGTTGACTATCTTGTTAGATTTTTTTTCTCTCCTCTGGTCTGGTTGTCTTAATCTTAATATTCATAAATGCTTGTGTACTACCTTAGAATTTTTTTGCCTTGACACAGTTGAATTTGATTATTTTTAATTATTCCTTCTCGTGAATATCTAATTGGCTCTCCTAAAGTTTTATATTCTGGAAAAATTCACTTAAGGTTTAAAAAATCAGCAAAAGCTTCAACCTATCCTGTACTGGAATACCATCAACTCACAGAAGTTTTTGCAAGTGACACTTAAGAACATATTTTTAATATTGAGAAATATTACTTGTGAATAGCCTCAATGTTTCATTTTTATAGAAGAGGGTGAGTTCAGAATCCTAACTCAGATTTCTGAAGGTTTTTCATTTGAGAGAGATTCTGTATGAATTAAAGCACCGGCTTAAAGAAAATTGGATTATTTCTTTGCAGCCCTATGAACTTTATGTGAACTGTAGGGGGAAGGATCATTGCTATTAAAAAGCACAGGTGCTGTTAAGAATCTGATCTTTCTCCTGGACACTTTTCTTAACCTAACAAAACATGGCATTTACAGATAAAGGGTGCCAACCCTCCCTTCATTTTCTTCAAATGTATATTCCAGAATTAGAGCTTAATTTTCAAGCCTTCTGAACTGGATTGTGGATGGCAGAACCACACTTATATTTTTGTTCAACCTACTGACAGCATGATGCTAAAGTTTCGTGCTATTAGTATGTTATTCTAAGGTTAATGAGTATATGCTACTATTATACTTCCCCCTCCCCCTATTCCTTTTTACCCAGGAATGAATGAAATCCAGATCTGAAGCAACCATGACATTAATTTCAAATTTCCACATATCAAAATCGGTGCTGAGTTTGGACTACAGGATAAGCCTATGTTCCCTCTTGAGCTGATTAAAGAAACACACACGAGGGGAGTGAGGGTAAGGTGATATCACATATACACCTCTTAATTCTCAACAGTGACTTGTGTACATGCAGCTGGTCTGTTAGAACAGCTGTTGGAGCAGGGGCAGCAGTAGTAAAAGTTTTTGAGTACAGAATGACTCGTGTCTAAACAGATATATGTCATTTCCAAAAAGACATTGTCTTGATACACACCTACTAGAGGATAATCATTAAATAGGTGCTAGTGTGACATACAGTGGGGCAAAAAAGTATTTAGTCAGCCACCAATTGTGCAAGTTCTCCCACTTAAAAAGAGGAGAGAGGCCTGTAATTTTCATCATAGGTATACCTCAACTATGAGAGACAAAATGGG